TGTTGACGTCAAGCCACTCTTCCTTACTGTACAGAGGGACATCTAGGCAAGGGAATGGTAGTGGGTGGGGAGGGTGTACAACCATTGTTTTGTCAATTAGTAACTACATGTTGGAAATAGTTTGAAAAAAAAAAAAGCCAAGGCTTGTGGAATGTACATTGCATAGGCGTGCAGGTCTCAATTATGACGACTTCTCCTGTTCGATGGCTGCAAAAGAAAAGAGGAAAAGTTTGCAACATCAGTTCCAAAGGTTGTGGAGCAGAGCAACTTTGTTTTTTAGATTAAGGGTCATTAGGCACAGCACATACTTTCTTTGGTTGGCAGTGTGTTTTTCTCCTGAGTCTCCGTCTTCTTCAGCTTGGTCTTGTCGAAGGTTGTGACTTCATTGATGTCAGGCTTGTCGGCCATGTCTGCAGAGGCTCTGAAAGACAAAATAATCCAGTTTAAAATCAGAACTCACCTGAGCGTGTGGACAGAATTAAACTAGAGATCAGAATTAATAGAGCTTGACAGCCATTAACATGATCAGTTCCATGTAAGACTAGACTATAGGGCTGAGGAACAAAAGCTTAAAAAAAAAAAAAAAAGCGATAAAATAAAATTTATGCAAAATATGCCGCATGTGGTCATTAGTGACTGACTTGAGAACAGCTTTGGGTCAGTTATGAGCGTGCGAGTGTGCAGCTGAGGGACCACCGCCCTTTCGAACAGTCTACATGAGCAGACTGCCTTTAACAATATCAAACCCATCTCTGACAAATAAACATAACTTGATTTAAAAAAATAAAAGTAGAATACATGAGGTTCAGTTTAACGCGTTAATATAATATTCAAGGAGCTGACACAGGCTTCGTTAAGTTTGATAGACCAGACAACAAAGCAGCGCTTCGGTCACTCTAACATTCCTTTGTTAAAACACGTCTGACTTTCGCCATTTTCTGATTAATTCCGGTAGGTTTGAACACATCCTGCCCAGCTGACACCGTTTACTGTTGATGCAGGACATTGTGAGACCACGAGGAGAGACGGGATAAACTCAAGAATAGCGATTTAATAATTCAACAGCGAGGCTAAAACAAAAAAGCAGGTGGGAAAAAAAAACGTACATATGGTGGAATAAACACAGAAACACACTTACCAGGGTTTTTGAGTCAGAGAAAAGACAGGGTGCACGTCTCGTTGGCGCAGGAGCACAGTGACGACTCCGGCGTCAATCACACTATAAATACTGCGCAGTATGCAAATGACGTTCAGACGACACGCCCACTGTCTCTAAAGCCTGCTTTTGTACAAATATGTATTTTAAAAAGACTGATAAAGATAAAACTCCAGATATACCTTCGTAATATTTTACATTTAGCACAAGTCTGTGCATTTATTTTGGGGGGGGGAAAGTGCGTTTAATCAGCTGCCAACACCTGCGTCAGATTAGGTGAGTTATCAGTTTTCTCCTGTCTCTATGCAAGTCTTTGCCTTCACAGCGGTTCCAGGTGTTTATTCGTACCTGAAAGTAACTAAAATGTTATGCTACGAAGTTATTTATTACGAGTGAAACAATGAGTCAAGTAGTTTTAGATTTAACTTGCACACTGTTAAAACTGTGTGAGGGGCGACACCGTGCGGCCAAACAGAGTAATAACCAGGAAATAATGCAGTGGCAGTGTAGATGGGGAGGAGTAGGTAGGTAGGGCCTACAGATCAGACAAAGTGTGGCTCCAGAATTTATATTATTGCTGGTTTTGGATTGAGCAAATCTTGACAGTTTTTGTTTTGATCCTTTAATAACAAAACAGCAATAAACACATGGAATAAAACAGAATGCAGTGACTTTTGTACTCACAATAAATTGCCCTTTTGTTGGATGAACTTGTGTACTTTTATATTTTCTAGGTTAGATGGAGGCCATAAAACAGATTGAAACATTTACATGTACAAAATGTCACAGATTTAAAAGGATTTATTTATATACTGTAATTTTTGCACATAAATCACATTCAGCATCATTGTATCTGTATGAAACAAAATATTGAAGTGAAATGTTGTCTTTATTTACCATTTAAGCTCCAGAGGGAGTGATGAAAGTTGTGAAGGACAACATCAGTGTTCAAAACAAGGCTCCAGATATTGATATTGTCCATCTTAGTAAAGTAGGCCTTTATTCTGATGACCGCTTCATTTGCTGGTGAAGTACTTTGAATAAGTCTTGTTGTACATCACCTGATTGTCCACTCTGACTATATTCCTCAGGTTTTGCCAAAACCAGGGCTCTGCAGCAGCGGTTCTCGGCCACTCCACGACACTTTTCCCGCACAGCCTCCTCCTCAGACGCAGAAAGTGAGATTGCTGCAGTACGGGTTCCAGCATCAGCAGCACGATCACGTCCACATTTTCATCAAGCAGTCTTTGGTGGGCCAGATACATCGCCAGCTTGAAAACTCCTGTCTTAACGTAACCCTCTGTCAAGACAAACAGGGTCTTGCGGCTGTATTGGATGCTCTGAGTGAGGTTATCCACCAGCGGGACTCCAGGGGGCCAGTCCCTCTCCTCCAGACACAGAGGAAGAGTCTTTTCTCCTTCCTCTTCCAGTTTCACTCGCAGATTTCTCATCACCCACTCAGAGACATGCAGATCTCTGGTGTCATAAGTCACAAAGACATCATAAACACTGTCTGGTGAGTTCAAGGAGCTGTATCCCTTCATCTTAGCTTTCACATAATGTAGGACATAGGAAGCATCCCAGTAAAATAAGTGAGCAACTGTTGTAACAAACATAAATAAAATAATCAAGGAGTTTGTGAGAATGTAGATCATGAATGCCTGACTGTCATTTACACACTGGTTAATGTCAAAGTATATCAGAGCATTATGCTTCTGGTTTGCTAGTGTGTCACATGTGACCTCAGTGGTCAGTCTGGGGATCTTTACATCACTGTTTTCAATCCACAGAATTAAATCTAATGAATCACAGGTGCACTGGAATGGGTTTCTCTGCAAGAACAAAGTCTGAATCTGATTTGCAGGTCTCGGTTGGAAGGTGGATTGATTGATGGTAGTCAGTTTGTTGTGGTTAAGGCAGAGAGTCTTAAGGCTTTTTGCACCATTTAAAAATCCATTGTCCAGGTGGAAAATGTGATTATGACTCAGGTCAAGTAAAGTCAAAGTGTGGGTAACATTTGAGTTTATTACTGTCACATTAGTTAAAGAATTGAAGCTCAGGTCTAAATTTTTAAGTTGATGGAAAAACCTCAGATTGTCCCATGCAAAATCAGTGAGTGAGTTGTGACTTAAGTGTAGTGTGGTGAGGTTATGGGGCAAATATTCATAAACATTGTCTGGAATCTTTGCAATTCTGTTGTTGGATATATCTAAAATGGTCAAATTAGTAAGATTAGTAAAAAGACACTTATATGAGCCATCTCTTTCTTTCCAAAGATTCCCTAGATTATTATGCGTAAACCGAAGTTCTGATAATGATTTGCTGTGCATCTGTTTTGTCGTCAATGTGGAAATTGAGTTGTAACTCATATTCAGCACTCTCAGGACGGGCAGATTTTTTGTAAAATTTAAATTATGCGTTACCCCAAACGCTTGAAAGTAGTGAGCATTGTGACTGAGGTCTAGCACTTGTAGTTTCCTTAGTTCTTTGAAGGCGTAATCATAGGCCAGATCAATCTTATTGAATGACAGGTCCAGGTATGTCAGATTGGGCAGCAAGGAGAACTCGGTTCCATTAAGTGCTGCCGAAAATCCATTCCCCGAGAGGTTGAGACATGCAATATTTCCGTAGCCCTCAAATTGCTTTGGAGAAATGAAGAACAGATTATTTGAGCTGAGGATTAGCACCCGTCCCGAGTCAAAGCACTCTTGCTTGATAAGGCTGTGTGATATCTCATAAGCGAAATCTTTTGGATGGGGTTTTAGAAACGGTGAAATGGAAAGGTCTGACTCCTGATTGTACCCCCCACTTGGATGCGGGGGGTTGTGCACTGGAATGGGATACAGCCTGTTTTCTGCAAGATATATCATTTTCAGGTTGGAGAATTTGCTGAATATTTTGGAATCAGAGTGAATAATGAAGTTAGTCCCTAAGTTCAATGCAGACAGATTTTTGAGCTCATACAGAGAACTGAGTGTGCCTGGCCCAATATCCTGGAAGACCAAACCCTCCAAGTGCAAAGTTCTAAGAGACACGAGTTTTGAAAACTCTTTTGAAAGATTTAATGTCGTAGGATAGTACTTGAGAGCAAAGTTGAACGAGAGATCAATTTTTTCTAGCCTGGGAAGGTATGTTAGAAACTTTGCCTCCTCAGTTATTGGTTTTTGCAGGAAGTTAAATGCCAGGAACAATTGTTTAAGCTTGTTCAGCTTCTCAAACCAGGAAGGATTCAGGTGGTTCATTGAGTTTCCTCCCAGGTTCAGTGTCTCAAGTTGTGTCAGACCGTGAAATGCATTAGGGTGGATACGAATAGACATATTTTGGCAAGGAACACAGGGATATGGAGCATTTTGACATCTTGGACAGTTCCCTTGTATTTGTAGGGTTTTTAAATTTTGCACCCCAAGAAAATCATCTTCATATATGTTCTGTATTTTGTTAGAACCCAGCTTTAACAAGAGCAATGATATGGGTAATCCTTTGGGAACTCGAGTTAAGTTGTTATAGGACAAGTCCAGAGCCTGTAAATTGGTCATTACTGCAAAGCTGTCATCCATAATCGTAACAGGTTTTCCACAAGGATTCCAGAAGTAGCAGTTTCTGGATAACCACAAATGTGTCACGTTAGTTAGGCCAACAAGGCTGCTGTTACCCAGCGACATAATCTTGTTAGTGTTTAGCTCAAGGACTGTCACACTGAGAGGGAGATTGCTGGGAATTTCTTTCAGAGAATTGCCAGTCAGTTTCAGTTCATGCAGGTTTGTCAGATTTTTGAAAGCATTCGCCGCAATGATCAGTCCATTGTTCTTGTTCGCCCAGCTGAGATTGAGTTGAGTCAGATTCCGCAGGTTAGAAAATGATTTAACTGAAACATTCGCTATGAAATTTTCCGATAAGTTGAGCTCAGTTGCATTATTAGTTATACCGTATGGTACTTTTTTCAGATGACGCCCTTTACAGTCAAACAGGACCTTAGTGACATTGTGGGGTATGACATCACAAGGGAATTGCCGTGACATCCATGCAGGTTTACACGCAGCAGGCTGGATCTCATAATGGCAACACAGACAGAGCAGCAGCACGTGCATCCAACATGTGATAGTCTGTAGATAAACAATACAATTGGTCAACTGGAGTAACTTTAACTTCCTCATTCCTTATATTCATACTGAACATTAGAGACTGTTTCCTAAAAGTTAATGTGAGTCTAAAATGAGGCTTCAGCAGTCTGAGTTAGTCAAATTAAATTTCTATCTTCCAATCGTACAGTATAGACAGGAGGAATGATTACAGCAAGAAAAACCTATTTAAATGTTCATACATGTATGGGCTCCAGACTATTGCTTTAACAAACTGTGAACCCATCCTTTTAGTATTAAAAGTATTGAATGGATAGTGTTGAGTATTGATTTAGAATTTAAAATGTATCCAGCAGGTGGCAGTAGTCTGTAAATTATCAACCAAGTGGAATAACTGCTCTTGGTATATTTTATCTGTATAATCTATGGTTAACCATAGTTTATGTGTATAATGTAACTTTAGCTAAAAGCTACTGCAACAGTAGCACAAGTAGAGAAAAGTTATAAAGTCAGTGGCTTGACTGAAAGACAACAGTATTTATCTGAACTTTACCAATGTTAGCTAACATTAGTCACCATAAGCTATTGGTCATACCAGACTAATTAAGGCTGTAGCAGCAAAACCTCTGAGTGTACTGAACTAAGTTATGTTTTTTTATCGCTATGAATTCAGCTTTTTTTATTTTTAATTAAATACGTTATTACTTCCTCCAAAAGCTACACCTCACTTTAACATCTAGTGTCACTATATCTGTAGGTGGTTGAAAGTGTTTTATTCCAGACTGATATATTCTATATCAACTTGTTCCAGCTCTACATTGCAATGAATTGAGTTACATCCGAATATATATTGTCAATGGTTACATCCCAAAATGTCAGCCTGACACATTTAGAAACTATAATTCTGTGGGTTTGAACAATGTTTGGCTGCACGGCATGACTTTGTATATAATAATCCACTAGCTGACCGCTGCATGGTAAGTGGTTAACTGTTACTCTCTAAAAATGGAAGGTGATACTGACAGAATAAATAAATGATATGATATATATATATATATTTATTTTCCACACAGTTGTGAGTAAACTTTAATGTACTGTATTTAATGTAGAACACTCCATTATAAAATAAAGTTTCAGTGTATATGGTATCAAATAAATGCATACACAGCTAGTCCATTTTCTAGTGCAGTTCTAAGTTGATCAAAATCTTAGAAGCACAAAATCATTATACAATTATAAACACGATTATATTACAGAAACATCCAATTAAAAACACATGCAAGTAACCAGTACATCCATAACACATGCAAATGAAGATCTCTGATGAGTAAATAATAAATGTATTCTCTGCTATACATACAATATGTAGCATATATATTATACTATATATACATTATATATATATTCTATAGCTTTGAAAAGTACAGAGAAACCTCTATTAATAAAACTCACCATTGTGCATGTACTGTATTGATTCCTTGTGATCCTTGAATTATAGCCACTTGACAATGAATTATTTGTAAAAACAATGCCTGTCTAGTGTGTTATCAAGTCAACACAAGTCAGAATACCACTTAATGTCTGTGTTCTTCCTCTTAAATAAAGACACATTAAAAAAAAAAAAACCCCAGCTGCTGAAGTTGCTTATAACAGCAATGAATAGTTCCCACAACAAGATAGGTGCTGACACAAAGAAGCATGCAAATTGAAGAAGTACATTTGTTTCACTTCCCCATTTCATGACATGTTGCCAGCTTTATGTTCATCTTATGCACAAATGAAAGTTATAACCCTCTGTGGAGATGGCAAAGAGTGCAAAGAATATTCTTGTTCTTAGATTAAAACACAGTGTAATTTATACACAGAGGTACATTCAGAACATTTAGAATAAAGAAGGAACTATGCATTACATTATATTGTTCTATTTACAGTGTCTCTTTGAAGAGATTGTTGTATTGTTTGTGGCTTTCCGTTGCTAATACACTTCTCAAGCTGAACCAGAAGTACGGCTGGGCTTGAGGGTTTGTTGGCCACTCCAGCACAGACCTCTTATACAGTCTCTTCCTTAATTTCAGGTACTTTGAATCACAAGGTACCTTCTCCAGGCAGATTAGGATGATGACGTCATTTTTTTCATCCATTAGCCTTTGATGGGCCATGTAGAAAGCTGTCTTGAAGTTGCCACTCTTAATATATCTGTTGGTGAGAATGAACACGGTCCTCTTGCTCTTGTGGATGCTCTGGGAGAGGTTGTCGATCAGGGGGCATCCGGGGATCCAGTCCCGTTCTTCGAGACACAGCGTCAGATGACGGTCTCCGCGGTCCTCCAGGTGGACGCACATTTCCTTCATCACCCACTCTGTCACTGCAGGGTCGTCCTTGTCATAGATCACAAAGGCATCATAGACGGAGCTTTGGGAGTACAGGCGGTTATAACCTTTGATCTTGGCCCTGCAGAAGTGGTAGATGTACCAGACGTCCCACAGGAAGAGGTGGCTTGAGATGGACAGGGTGAGGAAGCTGAGGATGAGGGAAGTCATGAGGGTGTAGAGGATGATTGACAGGTAGCTGTGCTGGCAGGCGAGCAGGTCCACTGAGATCACTGGATGACCTCTTTGTGCCCCGGGAGAGGCACACAAGACATCTGTGGCCAGTTTGGGGATGGTTACTGTGGTCTTGTTGAGCCACGTGATGAACCAAGTGGCACTGCAACTGCACAGGAATCTGTTGTTGTGCAGAAGCAGTTTTTCCATCTGATTAACAACATTATCTGGAAAACTAGATTGGTCAATGTGCTGTATGTGGTTAGAACTAAGATCTAGATATTTTAAGTTGTAGGCATCTTTGAGGAAGTCTGGTGTGAGTTTTAGGATTTGGTTTTTATGTAAAATTAGCTTTTTGAGAGATCTGGTACAGTTTGACAGCAGGTCTGGAACAGTAGTTAAGCTGTTTCCACTGAGATCTAAGACTTGCAAAGAATGCAGAAATTGTAGATTCTGCCACTCAAAGGAATTTAGTCTGTTGTTTTTCATGTATAGCTCAGACAGTTTGTCTGGCAGACCCCTGAACACTTCCCGTGGAAGGAAATTGAGGTTGTTGTGAGAGATGTCGAGAACTGTCAGATTAAGTAACTTCTTGAAATAATTGACATATCTGGTGTCCCCATCTCTCCACAACATATCTAACCGGTTATCCCTGAACTCTAACCTCTTTAGAGACTGACTCTCCAGCTCAGTGTTGGTGGTGGTAGAGATCTTGTTGTGGTTCATCATCAAGACCTTGAGATTTTTCAAATTTTTAGTGAAATTAAGCATGTGAGTCAAGCCCTCAGACTCAAAATAATGGTTGTTGCTACTTATATCCAAGATGACCAGATTTGTCAGCTCTTGAAACGCAGTGGAGTAGAGAAGGTCCAGGCGATTTGAGGAGAAGTCCAGATATTGTAAATTTTTCAGATTGGTGAATTCAGAGCCATTCAGACTTTGGCTCATTGCATTTCCAGACAGATTGAGACATCTCAGCTCTCCAAGATTTAAAAATCTTGAATGCAAGAAGAATATGTTGTTTCTGCTCACATCCAGGGTTTTGCCAAACTGACTGCATTCCCTGTTGACAAATGATGTAATAACTCCAAGTTCTTTATCTTTGTATTTGCAGCTGCGTGCATATTCATCATATCTGAAGTAATGAATCTCTCTTACTTCCTTATTTTGATACTGAGCAGCAGCCAGCATGGGAGACCATTGCATGGGCTCTCCCTCAGAGAAACCGACAGTTTCCTGGCCGTCAGAGGGGGAGGATATTTTGTTGTCAGACAGACTGATGATTTTAAAGCTTTTTAATTCCATCAGAATACTAAGGTTTGCCATTTTAATGAAGTTTGTACCCAGATCTACAACCTCCAAGTTTGTTAGAGGTTTTAAAGGAGCAATGCTCTCTGGTTTTAGCTGCTGAAACACAAAGCCCTTGATTCTGAGAATTCTAAGGGATTTGAGGGAAGAGAAACTGCCGCTCAGTCTCAGTGTTTGAGGATACCTCTGCAACTCATAGTTAAATGAAAGGTCCAGTTCTTCCAGTTTGCCCAGGAAATGTGGGAAGTCAGTCACTCCTATCTCTCCTGCTAAAAAGTTTGATGAGAGATCAAGCACCTTGAGCTCCTTTGTGCTGGCGAACCACTCGGATGGCACACGTGTCAGAGAGTTACTGTGCAGGCGGAGCGTCTTTAGCTTTGTCAACATTTTAAAAGCCGTATTGCTGATACTAAGCGGTGAATTATTCGGGCATGGGTTGCATGGGAAAGGAGCGTTGTAACATCGAGGGCAGTTTCCGCTAATATCCAGAATCTCAAGGTTTGTTAGGTTTTTGAAATCCTCATCAGTGACTTTTTGAATGTTATTGTTGTAGAGATACAACTCTTTCAGACCTGTGGGTAGTTGATGCGGAATAAAGGATAAGTTATTTGACTTGAGACATAACAATGTTAAATTCTTAAGCTGCAAAAACGCACCATCCTCTATCTCATAGGAAACATTACATGGGTTACGATAATAGCAGTTTTGACTGAGGTAAAGCATCTCAATATTTCTGATCTCAGAGAGGTTTGCTTTAGAAATACTATAAATATGATTGACTTCCAAACTCAGCAGGATCAGATTTGAAGGAAGGCCTTTAGGTATACTGTAGAGCTGATTGCCGTCTAAATACAACGCTCGCAGATTCCTCAGGCTGGTGAAGGTATTTTCTTCTATTGCCACACTCTGAGTGCACATGCGGTCCTTGGGGCCGATTTTGATGGGCACACAGTTGCACCTCATGTCAATCTCTGTCAGGTTTTCCAGACCTTGGAAGGAGGAGGAGTTTAATTTAGGAATATGGTTGATGGTGAGCGTCAGGTTGGTGGTGTCTCTGGGGATGCCAAGGGGGACATCTTTGAGACTTCTCTCAGTGCAGTCCACCTTCACCACACTCCCGTTGCTGGTCTCACTAACATCGCATGGCAGAGTTTTTGGGTAAGAAACGCTTGCTGTCGATATGGAGAGACAACACCACAGGCCCAGCAGTGACACACACATCTGTATAGAAACACACAGCGGTTCACTGAGCAATGTGTGCAGGTGGAAGGCTAATAATACACACAACAAGCAGAAACACATGCTAAAATTAAGTTTTGAGTCATATATGTACAGGATACTTCGTAATACAACTAGGAACTGTTACATAACTAAAACAAACATACATTATGCACATATAAAGCAAAACCACATGCTAAAATCACCATTTTCAGTATGTACAGCATGCTACTTCATAATACAACCACGAATAAAGTTCTCATATAAGCAAACCTGCCATTACTTTACATACAGTATGAATGTGATTATAATACCAAACAGTATACAAACAATGGTAACTGATACTTACCAGGTGGAAGAACATTTTTCACGTGAGAGATTGAAAAGAGGTCCTGCAATGTTGTCAAGTTGGATCGTGTACTGAAAGAACACTGTAACACTGATGTTAGGTGATGGGATGAAAGTAACAGGTGGCTGGGTTAGCCCATAAGGTGTATAATTAACCAGCATCACTTCCCTATTGTCACAAACCACACACATCCAAATCTTCCATCTTTTACACTGACTGTGTGATAATGGTTGACAGATTGCTGATGAATGTTAAATAGTGGGGCAAACATGTGCTTCATGCTTAGATGACTGTGAAGAGCTGTCAGGACAGAAGAATCATTTTGCCCTTATAGTACATTATACTAGCACAGCTGGAGGAGTGGATTATTCTTGATATTCAACCACCATTAAAAAGAGATGTTTCATTTCTGATTAGACTGTAGGGGAAAGTGAAACCTATACTTGGGTTGAGGTTTAACAGCTTGCCTGGTAAACATGCTATTTTGGCACCGTGCAGAATCTTCTTCCTTAATCTGTGGCCACTTTGCGGCTCTATGACTGAACAACCTTCACTCTCACGTAATCTGTCCAGACAGTTTGTATATATGTTTGGCTATTTATTAGAGAAACCCAAAGCAGGAATAGAAGCTGTAGTTTTAGACCTGATCATCCTCTTTTACAGCAAAAAGGCATGATGACAAAGTGGCTTTTAGCCATACAGCATGGGTCTTGGAATGACGCTGTCTGCTTGTCTATCCATCACTGAAATATCTGAACAACTATTAAATAGATTGCAATGAAAATTTCTACAGATTCATGGTCCCCACGGGATGATTTCTACTGTCTTTGGTGATCCTCTGACTTTTTCTGACGCACCACCATGAGGCTGAGATTTAAGTTTTTTAGTGAAATGCCTTGACCACTATTGGATGACTTGCAATTTGGATTTTACTGTATTTGGTGATTCACTGGCTTTACCTCTAGTGTCACTGGAAGGTCAAAGACATCGGTGGTTCCCAGACAATGAATGCCACTGACTATGGTGACCCCCTGACTTCTCCTGTAGCACCATGTTGAGGTTGACATTTGTGGTTCAGAGTGAACTACTGATGGTTCGCCATCAAATTCGATTCAGACATTCATGTTCCCTGCAAGATATCTAACTAACTAATTACATTCCATCAGACTGAACAGTTCCGTGTGTTTTGTGGAAATTAGCAAAGGTTAGCTTACTAACAAGCTAAACCAAGATGATGAACAAAGAAAACATTACCTGCTAATCATCAACACGTTTCCACTGTCACAGTGAGCATGTGTCAGCATGACATTAGCATTTAGGTCAAAGTACAGCCTCACAGAGCTGCTGGCATGGCTGTAGACACTCAGATGCATGAGCGTATAACGCTGTGCAAACACTCTGTCCTGCCCTGTAAGTAAAATGGGCCATCATCATCATTAATGCAAAAAGCTTTACCACCACTCAGGCTTGAGTAAATAGTAAAATCATGAATGATTAAATATAGTTATGAAAATAACTATTGGTCTTGCAACTTTTTTGTATAAATAATGCAATTTTAGCAGCAAACTTGTATAATCTAGAGAAGTCATTCTCTCGGCCTGTTATTCTGTTTTAATGCTCAATAATCAACTGAAGAGGGAATAAATTATTATGAATTTGCATGTCAAAATAAGATACAAATGTAAAGGTATTTTATGAGAAGTTGGTAATAAACAGAACCAAACTCATGTTTATTAAAACACAGACAAAATATTTGAGATTAGGCTTTTTAAAAGTTTAATCTTTTTAATGATGACAAAAAATAACAGGAAAGTACTCAGTGTTCATGTGTGAAGTATTCTTTAAATTAAGGTGAATCCAGCAAATGAAAAAGTCATATGCGTTACTTTTATTTGATCATGTCTTGTCCTGTGCAGTGATTTGTCTAGAGCTGTATATAGTGTATGCAATGCATTTATCCAACATAATATATAGTTTTACAATTTATAAACAAGGTACTAATAAGGTTGTAATAATCTACATGTTATGCCCCTAATATAACCAATAAGTCATTAAAATAATCCCTATTATGTAATATTAGATAATATACTTGAGAGGAGGGTCATATGCTTCTTCATATAATCTATTTAAAACTGTAATGTTTCATATAATTTTACTTTTACTTTACATAATAAAATATTGTATACACAAGGCAAGTATTTTTTCTTTCACAGCAGTTCACACTGGTCGTAAAACCTATGTCTCTTATGTATGGCTTTAAAATCAATAATCAGGACAAAATAACAACAGTTTATTTGTTGAGCAGTGTTGTCAGTGAGTGAGTTAGTGTGTTTATAATAGCAGACATGGTGGCAGAGTGATGTGTCAATGCATTCACACTTTGGTCACTGGGGGAGCTTCCCGAAGCCAACTCAGCAGCTTTCAGTAGACACACGTAGTTCATGACAACCTCGTCCACCTTGGCTACCACCTTGCGCCGCTCGCTCTCGGTGCTCAGGCCTTCCACGAGTGACATGCAGGCTTGCGTCAGGCAGCAGAGTGTGTGGAAGCTGTGCGTCAGAGTGAGCAGTAACTCCTCTGGGCTGCTGTACTCCACAGCCATCTGACTGCAGGCGCGGCTCAGCACTTTGGCCTGCATGAAAAGCAGCTGGGAGAATGAATCCAGGTCATCCTTGTTGACCTCAGGCTTCCCGCTTCTGCACAAGCAGCCAACGCTGGAACGCAACACGCCGACCATCTCTAAGGCATCCTTCCGTGCAAGTGCGAACCCTGTGTGAAGGCTGTAGGTTTTTCCCTTCATGGAATTTACACGAGCTAGCCTTGCTTCGAGGCTCATGTCATTTATAGCCGTGGCCATGTTACTCCTCCTGGCTTCATAGTCAGCTTTCATGATTGCGTTTTCCTTGCGACTGAAAGAAACCGAGCTGACAGAGAACAGAGCACGTGAGGGCATCTTTCTGTCTTTATCATCACCATCAGCATTTGTCTTTCTCCGCAGAAAGCAGTGACTGAATGGCCCACGGCACCTCCATGTACCTGCATCCAGCCTTGGTGCTGTTGACTCTGGCAGCAAGAGGGAGGCTCCTGTTAGCAGTCTTCTACCAGATGAATTAGACGCGACTGAACCCTGGGAAAAGCTCTTGGGCAAGGTTTTGGGAGAGAATATCCTCTGAACTTTTGGGGGATCTTGAGACTGGAAATTCTGACCACGACTCTTCCCTGTAAGTGTGGCTTTGGTCTTATCTAACAGTGCTTCTAAGTTCCTGGAACCTGGCATTATGGTGCTCCAGCTCCTCCTGAGCATCCGAACCCCGCGTGGCTTCCTGAGGCTGCCTGTTGTCGGGTCGCATGAAGATCTGCTTGAGGAGAAAGCCAGGGCATGTGGGTCGGACTCGGGGCTGGCCTGTGTTAGCCCACTGGGCTCTGTGCTACTTCTTAATGATGATGGTGACATGGTTGTGGTGGTGGTACTGGTCTCATTACAGAGAGCTAAAGATGACTCTTCCCCAGCCTTCTTCCGCTGTGTGCAAGCTACACTAGGGGTAGTAGGAAAACAAAGAGAACTGTTAAGCATCTCCCTGACATCACATGTTCATCTGTAATAAACTGTTTCATACATTTTAATAATAACGCTTATATACTTATATGTGATAGATATACAGAAATCTGAAATGATGATCTTTTTCTGAATTTGCATATTTGTTTAAACACATATCTTAAAAAATATCCAAATTGCTAAAGGTTCAACTGGATGAAAACAAAAGTGACATTTTAAGAAATGTCCACATTGCAGGCAAATAAGGGCAAGAATTTATTTGTTGATGTCGCAGTTCCCAATGTTTTTGGTTAGTGACCCCTTAAAACATCACATACTTGCAACCCCTGGTCACAGGTTGTTTCATTTGAAGGATTTTAGAGGAAAAAAATGAAAGAAAATTAAAGAATTCTATAAAGAAGTATAAATAGATTTTTAATCATCTTATCCTTTTTATGTGATTTAGGTTGGGACCCTTAGGGTTTTCTTTTGCCAAGGTTTTGCTTTTCATCCCCATGCAATGTCTCAGAATTAAACTTAATTTGTAACTCTCACAGCAATATAATAATACCTAAAAAATAAATATATAATAATAATAATAATAATAATAATAATAATAAAATCCACTTAATACACTGTTAACATCTGTTGGTCATCAGCACCAGCATGTCATTGTGAATATGTTAGCATGCTGGCGTTAATGTTAATTCAAAGCACTGTGCAAAGTACAGCCTCCAAAAATCCAATGGAAGTCATGGAGACAGTTAATTCAGAACCTGAGCAGATGAAACTATCTGCATGGCTGTATGCCAAGAGCTAGATGACAAAATGTATTTTGTAATTTGCGTGAACTGACAATTTCAAATATTTTCCTGCCCTTATTTGCCTGCAGTGAGAGTGAGTGACTTCAGTAAATGTCCCTTTAGTTCCTTTTATGCATTTACACAGACAGATAAGAGAGAGCACCCTCCTGTTTAGTTTTACCTGTGGTTTCTTTTATCTTGGGCATTCTGTGACTACCGTCCCGTGTAATCCCAAACCCAGGCTCAGCACTGGTTGCTGCATGGATCTTCCTCAGCAGGGTGGGGTCCATGGGATGGCCAACCTTCCCCTGACCTGGGGGTCCATAAGCTCTCTCCTCAGCAGTTACATAACTCAGCCCCTTGAGCGAGGACTCTGACAGTACATGCATATTGTCTGTGGCACAAAGGGGAGAATCCATGGGAGTGACACAGCTGCTGCTGCCTGTGCTACAACCGGCATCTATAGAGGAACACTGTGAGCTTTGGAGAGAGTGAACGCCTTCACTCTGTATCGACGACATGCGCTTGCTCACATGGTATTCGTACAACCTTGTGACGTCTTGCTCAGACGGCGCAATCTTCATTTGCTGCTGCTCATTATCCTGTGAAGTGGAATCTCCCTCTGTAGGGACGGGCCCTTTGGACGGGGAGCGGAGATGGGCATTTAAGTGTTGGCT